CAGAACGGAAACTAACGCGGAAGCAAAAACAGAAATCGACGCAAACGCCGACACGCATTAAAAAAACGCGCTGCAGGATCGAACAAACATTAAAATGTGCATGGGTCCTCTTCCTCCTGCTCCATTTCTCCTGCTCCCCCTCCGCCTCCTTCCTCCTCCCTCCTCCTCCTCCCTCATCCCCCTCCTCCTCCCTCTCTTTCCTCTCCAACGACGACGACGACGACGACGACGACGACGACGACGACGACGACGACGAGCCCCCTCGAGCGCCTCCCCAGGACCCCCCTCCTCCCTCCTCCCTCCTCCCTTCTCCATCCGTCCACCCCCTTCCCCCCTCCTCCTCCCCCTCCTCCTCCTCCTCCTCCTCCTCCTCCTCGGTCTCCTCCTCCGCCTCCTCCTCCTCCTTCTCCTCCTCCTCCTCCTCGTCCTCATCTTCCTCATCTTTCTTCCCTCTCCTCCTACTCGTCCTCCTCCTCCTCCTCCTCTTCCTCCTCCTCATCCTCCTCCTCCTCCTCCTCCTCCTCCTCCTCCTCCTCCTCCTCCTCCTCCCCCCTCCCTCCTCATCCTCCTGCTCCTCCTCCTCCTCCTCCACACTCCTCTTCCTCCTCCTCCTCCTCCTGCTCCTCATCCTCCCCCCGCTGCTCCCTCCCTTACTCCTCCTCCTCGTGCTCCTCCTGCTCCGTCTCCGCCTACTCCTCCTGCGACTTCTCCTGCTTTCCGTTATAATTCTGCTCCTCCGCCTCCTCCTCCTCCTCCTCTTCCTCCTCCTCCTCTTCCTCCTGTTCCTCCTCCTACTGGTCCTCCTGCTCCTGGGATCTGCACGCTGATGACATCATCTTCGTATTTTCAAACAAATATATGTTACTTAACAGTGTTTCGGATGGCGTACAAGATAAACAAGCCTACAAGCCAAAACCTTCAAAACCTTGGGATGTTTAGCAACTTGTATTAGAAAATATTCGCTTCGCCTGGTACAATCTGCCAAAACAGCCTCTGGGAACCGTCGCCCAAGAGAACCCCACGGAGCTCCAAGAGGCCCAAAGAGGCTCCAAGAAGGTTCAAATATTGTCCAAAAGGCCCCAGTACTATTCCCCAAGCGGGCTTCAGGGGTCTCCCAGACGCCCCAAATAGGGGAGGCGGTGGTGATTCGCCGTAGGCGTCTTCGATCTACAAAGAGACTATTAACCGTTGCGCTGACTGTACGTGGAAAACTTGTTTTCCAAAATGAATTAAATGGAAACGTGCGAATGATACGAAATCGTGTTACGACTTCTCATATCCGCCTCCTCCTCCTCCTCCTCCTCCTCCTCCTCCTCATGGCCATCCTCCTACTTCTCCTGCTAATCCTCCTGCTGCTCCTCATCATACTCCTTATATGTTCCTCCTACGCCTCCTCCTCCTCCTCCTACTCGTCCTACTCATCATCCTACTATTCCTCCTGCTCCTCCTGCTCCTCCTCCTCCTCCTCCTGCACAACTTGTATTTGAAAATATGCGGTTCGCCTGGGGCAATCTGCCAACAACAGCCTCTGGGAACATTCGCCCAAGAGAACCCCACGGAGCTCCAAGATGCCCAAAGAGGTTCCAAGAAGGCTCAAATATTGTCCAAAAGGCCCCAGTACTATTCCCCAAGCGGGCTCCAGGGGTCTCCCAGAGGCCCCAAATAGGGGAGGCGGTGGTGATTCGCCGTAGGCGTCTTCGATTTACAAAGAGAATATTAACCCTTGCGCTGACTGTACGTGGAAACCTTCTTTTCCACAATGAATCAAATGGAAACGTGCGAATGATACGAAATCGTGTTACGACTTCTCCTCTCCGCCTCCTCCTCCTCCTCCTCCTCCTCCTGGTCCTCCTCCTACTTCTCCTGCTAATCCTCCTGCTGCTCCTCCTTCTACTTCTTATCGGTTCCTCCTACGCCTACTCCTCCTCCTCCTACTCGTCCTACTCATCATCCTACTCTTCCTCCTGCTCCTCCTGCTCCTCCTCCTCCTGCTCATCCACCCCCTCCTTACTCCTCATCCTAATCCTCCTGCTGCTGCTCCTCCTCCTCCTCCTCCTCCTCCTCCGTCCTCCTCCTCCTCCTCCTCCGTCCTCCTCCTCCTCCTCCTCCTCCTCCTCCTCCTCCTCCTCCTCCTCCTCCTCCTCCTCCTCCTCCTCCTCCTCCTCCTCCTCCTCCTCCTCCTCCTCCTCCTCCTCCTCCTCCTCCTCCTCCTCCTCCTCCTCCTCCCCCCTACGCCTCCTCCTCCAACCGATCCTCATCCTATTCCTCCTCCTCCTCCTCCTCCTTACTCCTCCTCCTCCTCCTCCTCCGCCTCCTACTTCTCCTCCTCCAACTGCGTTGCGGGATATTCCGAAAGCGCATACTGGTTCACGGAATTCTGTCGCCACACAAAGCTTATCACACTGCCCGTCATCGTTGTTCGAGCCGCAAGGTCAGTGCGCGCGAGGACAGAAAAAACATTCATCAACAAACATAAGCCACCCTCCCACATCTTAATCCTTGCGCTGGCTGTACGTGGAGAGAAATCAATGAATCAAATAAAACATGCGAATAATTCTTACGCAGGTTCACCTTCGGAAACCTTGTTGCGCCTCCTCCTCCTCCTCCTCCGCCTCCTCCTCCTCCTACTCCTCCTCTTGCTCCTCCTCATATTCCTCCTCCTCCTCCTAATCCTCCTCCTCTACTCCTCCTCCTCCTACATCTTCTCCTCATCCTCCTCCTCCTCATCATCCTCCTCCTACTCCTACTCGTCCTACTCATCATCCTACTTTTCCACCTACTCCTCCAGCGCCTCCTCCTCCTGCTTCTCCTCCTGCTCCTCCACCCCCTCCTCCTCATCCTGCTCCTCCTTACTCCGCCTCCTCCTCCTCCTCCTCCTTACTCCGCCTCCTCCTCCTCCTCCTCATCCTCATCCTTCTCCTCCTTACTCCTCTTTCTCTTTCTCCTCCTCCTCCTCCTACTCCTCATCCTTCTCCTCCTCCTCCTCCTCCTCCTCCTCCTCCCCCTACTCCTCCAACTCCTCCTCCTCCTCCTCCAACATCCTCATCCTATTCCTCCCTCCTCCTCCTCCTCCACCTCCTCCTCCTCCTCCTTACTCCTCCTACTCCTCCTCATCCAACTCATCCGAAGATGTACAGTGCGCGCGAGGACAGAAGAACATGCATCAAGAACGCCAGCCCCTCCGATGGGGAAAAGCCCCTCCGCTGGGGACGAAAACGAAGCCAGCCTCCTCCTCCTCCTCCTACTCCTCCTCCTACTCCTCCTGCTCCTCCTCTTCCTCCTCCTCTTAATCCTCCTCCTCCTACTCCTCCTCCTACACCTTCTCCTCATTCTCTGCGCAGCCGCTGCGGCCCGACACACTGGCCCCTCGGAGGCCCGAAGCAGCGAGGAGCCGGCCGCCTCGACTTCTGTCGAGCCGCCAGACCGTCCGGTGAGGTGGTCCCTCCGCCCTCCTCCGCCCTCTTCCGCCCTCCTCCGTCCTCCTCCGCTCTCCTCCGCCCTCCTACGCCCTCCTCCGCCCTCCTCCTCCTCCTCTTGCTTCGCCCTCCATCCCCTCCCTCCTGCTGCTACCTCCGCCCTCCTCCTCCTCCGCACTCCTCCTCCGCCCTCCTGGGGGACAACGCTCGGCGGGTGCGCCGCGAGGGCGCCTCCCGGCCGATCCCTGGGCAGGCCTCCCAGCGGGCCGACGAGCTCAGAGAGCAGCAAGGGGGCCTCGCGCCGCCCGAGCGCCGGCGAGATCGGCCGAGGTCTCGGAGGACGGATCGAGGTTCAAGGATCGAGGACCGAGGTCGTCGTCAGTCGTCGTCGTCGTCGTCGTCGTCGTCGTCGTCGTCGTCGTCGTCGTCGTCGTCGTCGTCGTCGTCGTCGTCGTCGTCGTCGTCGTCGTCGTCGTCGTCGTCGTCGTCGTCGTCGGTCGTCGTCGTCGTCGTCGTCGTCGTCGTCGTCGTCGGTCGTCGGGTCGGTCGTCGTCGTCGGTCGTCGTCGGTCGTCGGCCGTCGGCCGTCGGTCGTCGGCCGTCGGTCGTCGGTCGTCGGTCGTCGGTCGTCGTCGGTCGTCGGTCGTCGGTCGTCGGTCGCCGCCGTCGTCGGTCGTCGTCACAGAGAGGAGGAGGAAGAGGAGGAGGGGGGGGAGGAGGAGGAGGAGCGAGGATGGAGAAGGGACAAGGGACGAGAGAGGAGGGAGGAGGGAGGGTAGGGGGAGGAGAGACGAGGTGCGAGAAGGGGGAGGGAGGACGAAGCGGAGAGAGGCAGAGGAGGCGGATGATGAGGCAAGGCGTACCAAGCAGCCACTTTCATCTGTGTGTGCTTTCCAATGGGGGGTATCCTTGGTCGGGGTTGGTGACGTGGGCACCCCGAACCAGCGATATTTTCTCTCCCCTCCGATGGTCCTCCTTCTCCGATTAGCGGGCCAGGATGGCACGCGGGCTGAGAGACGGCCGTCAAGCTCGCACCCTCGCTCTGAACCAAACAGCAAGCAATATTTGCTTAACTTGCCTCCCGCCGCGCAAGTGCGGCCGCAAAACGTACACACAAATTGCTCTGCCGTTGCATGAGACGGCCTTCAGACACGCACTTCACGCCGGCAAATTATTGGAAACCAGACGGGGGAGGGGAGGGTAGGGCACTCTTGGGAGGCATGGAAGAGGGAAGGAAGACGTCGGGCGTCACAAAGTCACGGTGCTGGGCTTCGCTCCAGCATCACTTCGGGGCATCTGGCCGCCCTCTACGGAGGCTCTCATGACGCAGGAACGCCACAAAGTCACGGTGCTGAGCTCCAGACCAGCATCGCTTCGGGGCATCTGCTCGCCCTCTACAGACGCTCAAATGTTGATTTCCTCCTCGGCCACCGGAATAGCCCCCTCCTTGGCCCCCGAGGCCGCCCGGAGACAGCAAAAGTACGAGACTCCATCAGGCACCCAACTGTCCCCCAACGGAAAAATCTAGCAGAAGCGGCTGCGCTGTGATTCTCTCTCGCCGCTCTGGCTGGCCCTCGAGTTGGATCTAAGCCACTGTTGGTTCCTTGGGCGCGGGTTTCTGGAAGGCGGGGTCACTGGCGCCGCAGAACATGCCGCCCTTGTCGGCCCAGTAGAACGCCGGAGAGGTCATCGCCCAAAAGATCACGTAGGCACCGTGGACCTTGAACGGGAGCAGGGTGTCGATGGGCCCAAGGGTGTTGTAGAAACACCACAGGGCGATCACGGCGCCCAAGTTCCCGCCCGCCCCCACCAGCGCGGATGTGCACGCGAGCTGCTTCGGGTTCATGAACGGCACGATGCCGTAACTGGTGCCCTCGGTCATCTGCACGAAGAGAGAGAAACACAGCAAGACGGCCAGGGCGACGTACCATGGCTGCGAGTTCTCCACAGATCCGAAGCCGAGCAGGAAGATGCCCTCGAGGAAAAGGCAGAGGAACTGAGCCCAAATACGGCCAGAGAAACCGAATCTGGCGAAAAGAAAATCGCTGAAGATGCCGCCCAATGAGCGCGCGAACAAGTTCATCAGGCCGAAGGAGCCTGCCAGGGCAGAGGCAGCGCCGGCCTCCATCTGGAAGTAGACGCGGAAATGGGTGGCCAGCTGCGCGTTCATGACCAGCTCCGTGCCAAAGCAGGCGCCGTACTGGAAGATCATAATGACGATCCTGGGGTCCTTCAGGCACTCCACGTAGTCCCACATCGACGCGTTTGATGTCTTGCCCGTGTCGCTGGTCTTGAAGCGGGGCCCCGTTGGCATGTCCCAGCAAAACAGCTTCATGCTGATGGCAACCGCGACGAAGACGCAACCGGGGACGACCATGGACAGGCGCCAGGCCGTGTCAGAGCTCGCGCCCATCTCCTGGAAGGGCTTGAACAGGCACCACACGATGAAAATCTGTGTGACGCCGCCGCCGAGGTTGCCCCACCCCGCTGCGGTCGCGTTGGCGGTGCCCACCACGTTCGGGGCGAACATGAGGGAGCACCAGAACTGATTTGTGACGAACGTGGCCCCCGCGCAACCGATCATCATGCGGATCCGCCGGCCCCCGCTTGCCAGAGGTGACAAGGCGTGCGAGACAGTTGGCTGTCCCACTTCCCCTTTCCCCCTCCCCCCTCCCCAGGGCCCAAAATCACCGTTCAGGCAGGGGGGGGGCACGAGCTCCCCGGGGGTTGGGGCACGAACTCCCCGGCGCATGCCCGGGGCCCCCAGAGCCCCCAAATCTGCACTCCGCGGCCTCCAAGATGTCCACCATGCCATTGAAGCTGGAGCTGGGCTCCAACACGTCGAGGAGGCCTCAAAAACACCAAAGATGGCCTCCAGACGGCCCAAGAGGGCTCCGAGACGACCCCAGAAAAAGTCCCAAGAAGCAAAAACCGTCCCAATACGCTGGGAAAACGTACATGCTTTGCGTATTCGCTTCTTTGCTCTTAACAGCGTCCAACGCTGCCCTGGAGGCCCCAAAGAGAACTCCAGGACGGCCCAAGAAACTCCCAAGAGGGCCCCAAGACCACGAGGGGCATTTCGAACCGACGCTTTGAATCCCCCGGCCCTCGAGGGTACTCGATTGCACCAACGGGAGCTCAAGAACCTGACCGGACAAGAACGGGAAGCGCCGCTTTATCGAGCAAGCTTGTCAGAGGATGTATGGTTGAGAACGTCAAAGAAACTCAGAAACGTAACACCTCAGACCAAGACATGTACTAAATGTCGGTTCATTGTGCTGGTCTGCCTTGCTGGTCTGTCGAGCTAGTGTGCCGCCCTGGGCGCATGATGGACCTCGTGGGCCGTCGAGGGCTCTTGGAGCTCACTTGGGCCCTTTGGGGCCCTCTTGGGAGCCTTTTCGAGGGCCTGTTGGGAGCCTTCGGGGAGCCTCTTGGGGGCTTCTTGGGCCCTCTTGGGCTGTCTGGGCGCGTCTCGAGGGTATGCGCGGGCTCTCTTGGGCCATCTTGGCGCCCTCTTGGGCCGTTTTGGGGCTTTCTTGGGCAGTATGGGAGCCTCGTCCGGCGCTCTTGGGGGCCTCTGGGCGCCTCTTGGGGGCCTCTTGGGTGCCCCTTGGGGCGCTTTGGGGGTCCTCCGGGGAGCCTTTGGGTACTCCTTCGGGCCATCTTGGAACCCTCCGGGAGCGATTCCACGATGATGTTGGCTCAGAGCCCCTTCCGGAACCGATTTTTTGAGAATGCCCCCTAGCGAAACGGCAATTTTTCAGAAACCTGACCGGACAAGAACGGGGATCGCCGCTTTGTCAACGAAGCCTGCCAGAGAATGTCCTGCTGAGGACGTCACAGAAACTCAGAAACGTAGACCAACAACGCAGCAGTACGGCAGACGAGCACGGCAGACCACAGCAGAACGGCAGACCAGCACGGCAGACCACAAGTGAACGGATGACCAGCACGGCAGAACGAGAAGGAGCACAGCAGACCAGCACAGCGGACCACAGGAGCACGGCAGACCATCATGGCAGACCACAGGAGCACGGCGGACCAAAACGACAGTCTATAGGAGCACGGCAGACCAACACGACAGACCACAGGAGCACGGCAGTCGACAGGAGCACGGTAACACAGGAGCACGGCAAACCAACACGGGACACCACAGCAACACGGCAGACCACAATAGCTCTACAGACCAACGCGGCAGACCAGAGGAGCACGGCTGACCAGCACGGCAGACCACACGAGGACAGCAGACCAGCACGAGCTTCATATGTATTGGGATGGTACCGAAAACTTGCATGTTTGATGATGTTTGCAGCGGCAGCTACATTTCGAAGAAGCCAAGAATTCGGAATAGACTTCAACGTTGCATGTTCGCGAAGATGTCTGCAGAGAGAGAAAGAGAGAGAAAGAGAGAGAGAGAGAAAGAGCCTCGCTTTTAAGGAACATCGTCGGATGGCAGATCCTCCTACATCCCCATTTGGGGAGTATGTATCAGGTGAAACGTTCGTGTTTGCAAAAGCGATGCTGGTAAAGTATTAGTTTGATGAGGATGCCCCTAGCGAAATCGTATTTTTTTGTCGTCTTGAGGGCGCTCGTGGGGTCATCCTGGGGCCCATGTGGGGCTCTTTTGGGAGGTATTGAAGCTATCACGACATGGTTGGAATATTACGCTAGGAAGATATCATGTTTGAGGATGTCCCTAGCGAAACCGTCGTTATCGGAAGGCTCTTTGGGGCTATCCTGAAGCAGTTTGAGAGCGATTCCAATACGATGTTAAGCACGCATTTCTTGAAGGGCGATGTCAGATGTGCTTCATGCTTTGAAGTTATCCCAAGCGAATCGTAATTTTCGGCAGTCTTGAGGGCGTTATTGGAGCCATCTTGGGGTCCTTTTTGGGATATTGTTTCTCTGCCTTGAGGCACTTAGAAAACGATACCATTCAGATGCTGGGAACTTTTGAAATTTGAGGATGTCCCTGGCGAAATGGCAACTGTTGGAAACGACGTCGAAACATACAGCTGCGTTGGTCTGCCGTGTTCCTCATACTTTTCTGAGGATGTCTGCAGCGAGAGCGTCGATTTCAACATAAAAGGTAGTCCGCCGACCCCCGCTTGCCGGAGGTGAAAAGGCGTGTGAAACATTTGGCTGTCCCCCTCCCCCTTTCCCCCTCCCCAGGGGTCCAAAAATCCGATTAGAGGGGGGGCCAGGGGAGGGCGGGGGGGTGGAGGGACGAGCTCCCCAACGCACCCTGGGGGCCCCCAGAGCTTCCAAAAAGCCCCCCCCAATACGGGCCAAGAGAGCCCCAAGAGACCCCCAAGACGCTCCAAGAGGGCCCAGAATAGCCGAATGATCGCTCCAAAACGCCCAAGATGGCCTCCAGACGGCCCAAGAAGCCTCCAAGACGCCCCAAGAGGCCTCCCGAGAGGGCCCCAAAAAGCAAAAACCATTGTTTTTCCTGTAGTTTTGGAAAGTGTTTGGCCTCTCGCCTTTTCGGCTTCCCGACGTTCCAAGACGGCCTGAGAGGCCCCCAAGATCGCCCCAAGACGGCTCAAAAGGCCCCCAAGACGGCCCTGGGACGGCCCGAGAGGGCCCCAGGACGGTCCAAGAGGTGCCCAAGGCAACCCAAGAGGGCCCTGAGACGGTCCCAAGTGTCAACGATAATGGGCGCACGATGTCTTTCATCGCTGCAAGCTCCGCGACGTCGAGCGTTATGACAGTGGTCGCCACGCGATCAATCACACACAGCAGTCTGAAATCAGGGAAACCCCAGGCAACGACTGGAGCACATCTGATAACTTGTTATCTGCTGATATCTCAAAAATGGATCCCCTGATATGATTAGAGCACAAAAGGCAGCGGCACACAACTTGTGATGTTATGTTGTGTTAACAAATCCTCGAACACCTAGTGAATTGAAAAATATCAAAACTGTTTGATCTACTGCGCTTCGAGCTGAGCACAAGACCTGCTCATCTTCACACATAGTATACTTTTTGCAGCTCAGAAACTGGGGATCAGCAGCTTGCATGAAGAGCCTTACACTGTAAGAGACAGTGCGCTGTCTGAACCTGCATTCAGCATTGGTGCTCCAGCACCTGTCGAAGAAACACTGCCGCGTGATCACGTTAAAACGAGACAAGTCCCAACCACGGTTGTAATGATTGACGATCCTCGCCACAAGGTCCACCTTGATGCCTGACACCGGGAGCTTCAACTCGCGCAAAATCCCTTGCAATGCGTAGTTCGGCATGGCGTTTAGCTTCCTCTCGATGTCTGCAGGCGTCCGCCTCGCAAGGTCGTCGGTCTTCATCTTGTCGATGGCGGATGGCCCCGCGATGCCCGCCAATATGGCGATGCTGGAGCGAGGCGTCGTATGTGTGTCCGGTGGCTTGTTGAAGTCGAATCCGGCGGCGCGCGGGCGTCCGTCGGCGGCACTGCATGCAGTAGCCTCCTGCACATGCTGAATTATCTGCTTGGCCCCCTGCCCCTTGGACAGACATTGAAACAAAAAACGAAACGCGGCCATGATCAGCGCCCCGATGGAAACTCCAAGAGCAAGCACTCCGGACGGCGAAAGCAAAAACTGCGACCACTAATCGAACGGCTCCACCTGGGCGCGTGAAGCTTGTCGATGCATCGATGGGTCACGCGCTGCATTCGCTGCAGTGCCTGCTGCAAAGAACGGGGGAGCTGATCCCGATGAACAGCTGCTTGCCAGTACGCCTGAAAACAACGCTGCACGCATCGCGCGCGACGACGCGAAACTCACTGCGGAACTCACTTCAGCTGTATGCGCGACCTCGTGTACGTCAATCCTGCTTAATGTCGTCCATGGCGCTGTGATCTGTTGGGCGTGCGTAGTTGGCGTTGAGAGTGTCTGCGTCCTCCTGTAGCTCCACCCGTTGGGATCGATGTAGCTCCTCCCGCAGGTCGGTGAGCTGGCGCTTCCGGAAAGGAGGTGTACGGGGATCTGGTCCGAAATACCAGAGGTCCTCATGAAAGACTCGGTCTCGGCAGGGTGTATCCATCTTCTCGGCGAGCCCGTCGGCTAGCTGTTGTTCTGGCCATGCCCGCTTGATACCTCCACGCTGGCACTCCTGCCTGAAAATGGCGGCCTCGAGCGAAAGCCTCCGGTCGGATAAGTGGACGCGCTCCTTGACCGTGCAATCCCATAGAGAACGAGAGCCGGTAACCAAAACACCTTGCCAATATTCAGCTGCATAACGGTACTCATGGCCGAGCTTATTGGGAAAAAAAAATGCATGCGCACGCTGCGCGAGCCCAGAACGTCACATCTTGAGCTTCCGAACAACTGTAGCCCTCCGCTGATAGGGCACTCCGTACAGCACGTCCGATACGTCCGCTTGACCAGGATAAAAATATGCATGGGTAGAGCTTGGTGTGGTCCTCCGTCATGTCGCCATCTCCAACAATGATGTAAAATCCGCGCTGGCTCTCGTGGTTCGGCACGTTGTCGAATGAGGCGTCGCGCGGGGCGATGGCCACGGACTTCTCGAATTCAAAACCTCCACGAAACATCATCACCATCTCCCCCTCGCGGCGGATAGAACGAACAAGCTTGTTCATGTCCTTCATGTCCTGCACCGTCGGTTGAGTCAGCTGGCCTGCCAGCCTGGATGCCTCGAAGCTGTACTTGTGAAGCAAAAGCCGTACCACCCACTGAACCTGTCCATTCATGCCTCCTAACGCTCGGTGTTCAGCTGCGGTGAACTTCTCCTTCTCCCGCCTAAACCTCTCAAGGGCCATTCGGTAGTCGGTCATGCCGTCGATGTACTCACCGATGTCGATCGATATTACATAGTCATGGTCCTGCTTGAAGCGTCGGCCCGTACATGCCGCTCCTTCTGGTGTGCTCTGCACAGAACTCTACCTGCTCCTTCAGCTTCTTGATGGTGCTGCTGCAAAGCTCGCGGTTGTTCTCCATGTCGAAAGCGATGAGCATATCGTCGATGTGTAAGCACAAGAGACCCACCAACATGCCACGATGTATGAGTCTGAACGCGGCCGTCTCGAACTGCAGCTGCTCGGAGCCAAACGAGAACAGGATCGGGACGATACGCATGCACCGCGCCCATGCCGCGTCGTTGGCCCCGTAGATGCTCCTGTTGGGCTTGAGTAGGCCCCCCCCCCCCCCTCGAGTCCAGGCATGCCCGTGCCCGGTAGGTTCTCGGGCAACATGAAGTACAGCTCCATCTCGATCTTGACTCCTTGTAGAAACGCGCCAGCAGCGTCGCCAGTAAAGCATGAAGACGCTTGCATGCTGCAATGCTGCAAAGCAGGTTCTGATGGCGAGCGAGTCGGGGAGTCGCTGCGCAACTTCTCGTCGTACTTTTCCTGGAAGCCTTTGCCGACGATCCAGCGCTTGAGCTGGAAGTTGGCGTCGTAGTCGCTACCCTTGTCCGTCCGTGCGGCACGACTCTCGATATGCAACGCCTTGTCGATATTCTTGGCCATCGTCGGTGCGATGGCCGTGACTGCGTCGTACTTGGACCAGGTACTCCACTCCTTGACAAGCGCGTTGAGGGTCTTCTCCGCGCGCTCCTGACTGAATCCGTCGTCATTAGTGAACACCTCCGTGACGTTGATCTCCGCCATGGTCACCCGATCGGCTCGTTCGGCAGAAAAGGCCTCGCACAGCACCTGGTTGGTAGCATGCGCTGCACGAGCGCGCTTGTCCGTGGCGGTCGCGGCAATGTTGTGCCCGATGTGTGCGCGCTCCGCGCAGACTGTCTGAGACGCCGGGGTCTTCCGCTTGAACTTCTGTCGTGCATGCACGTTGTCGTTGCGGGGCGCTAGGTTCCCGAGGTTCACGGTCAGCTGCTCTCGCAGGCTGACTCCTTGGACTTGTTGGGAGGCGTAGCTGCTGGAGGCGGATTGTCTAGCCCATTGGATTGGGGAGGCCCTCTCGGTGCCGGACCTTCTGCCCCATCTCCTTGCGGCGGTGTATCTCCTCCTGGATCACGTCCTCCCGATGAATATTGCTCGGCCCTCTAGGTATATTCCGCCGCGATGTCGAGCATGTCCATGTCGCGCACTAGAGGAATATCGAAAGGAACCTCCAGACTGTTGCGTGACAAGTCCTCCCAAATAGCCTTGGTGATGCAGTTAAGATATGCGTCGTCTCAGTAGCTTGTCCAGCGGGATGACATCCTCTCCTGGAACTGTCGTCGTCGCACATCTTGCAATCCGTGTAGCTAGAATGGCGTCGTGAAGGCCGCGGGACTCAGTGCCGACGATCAGGGGCCATGACTCCGGCATGTTGCACGAGCCATCTGGCCGCTCCACCTGCACGCGCCGCCGCCGAGCCAGTGGTTGATCTTCATCATCTCCGTCACGAGCTAGAACTCAGCCCATATGCTGCGCATGGGGGTTCTGGTGGCTGTGCAGGCGCAGGTGGTGGCTGAGGTTGTAGTCCATGTTGTAGCGGCTCCCTTGGCGCGGTAAACGCGGTGTTCCGAAGGTCCACAAAGCCGCGCCGTCCACGCGGTGCCCCCTGCCATTCTCGTTGATCGACGGGCATGCGGTCCTCGAACTCGTTGAGCGTAGATCTCCGTAGGATGTTCGGTCCTGCTAGGATGGGCATCCCGTTGTGAGTCAGCCAGTAGCCACACTGATCACATCCAATAACTCGAGCTGGCCCATGCCATTCCCGATGCAGATCTCGCTTGCCTCCACCTGTCCGCCAATAGTGGGCCCGCTCGCCACGCTCGCAAGGCCCAGGCTGAGGTCGGGTATTCGATAGCACCGCTCGTCGTAGAGCTGAGCTGTTGGCTGCCTGGTGGACTGCGATCTCACATGTTCCCTGTAATTGTGATCGGTGCCACGTGAGAGATCCGCGTGCTACTTGTCCTGCGATCACCGGGTCGGCGTTGAGATCTCCAAATGATGCTGGTGTAAATGGATTTTCGCCAAGAGCCCGTTGAGATGGAGAGAAGCCCTTGTTGTTAGAGAGTCGGTTGATGGTCTGGGCGATATGATATCCAGCAATATTTGCCCCCGTCGTCTCTCGCCTCGAGCTCGTGAAACACCTTTGTAGCCATCTCCTTGAAGAACCTGATCTTCCTCTCCAACTTTCCATGCAGCTGGCGTTCTTCTGGTGCCACTCGAAAGCATGGAATTCCAAGGTCCTCGCACATAGCCTCGAACTCCAGACGAAAAGCTGCGTCTGGGTCGATGTGAAGATTCCGCGGCGTCATCAAATTGCGCTGCCGGCCCTCCACGAACGCAACCTTGGCATGGTTTGACATGGGGATTGGCTTGCGATCTCCACCGCTAATCATCCACTGAATGGTGGTGAAGTCGGCAGACAGGTCTAGCATGAGCAAAGGCGCGTGCATGGTTCCGTAAAGGACAGGCACGTAGGCGATGTCCATGCCAAGGCATTGATTGAACTTGGTCCAATTCGGTAGGTTGGTGATCGGATGTGATGGCGGTCGTTGCAGAGCGTCGCATAGCTCGCCCTTGAAGATCTTTGCTGCCGAAGTCGCCGCTGGTGAGCCTCCGCCGTTCTGGATGTGCCTCGGGAGCTCTTCGCCTCGTAGTGCATGAGAAAACTGAACAAGCAGCTTCTTGGTCGCTGTCTTCATGTCGGTGCCTGCTGCCAATCGTTGTAGGTCTCCGCGCTCGAGCCCGCGATGAGTCCTGAGCTTTACGTGAAGCCTGTGGCGGGGTACGCGTCAGTAATGATGGGAACTCCGAAGATGGTCGAACCTCCAAACAGCTTCTCCAACCCGTACTGATGATTCGTGCCCCCCAAGATTCACTCTGCCAGGTCGGGTGTCCATACTGCATAGTCGCTTGACTTGCCGCCTCGACCTTGAACTCTCCATGCCAATGATCTCGAGAGCATCGAACCTCCAGTGCATATGCCAATGCCACTGCTGAGGTAACAAGCCTCGTAGGCTTGAGCAGCAAATCTCCGTTGTCGTCTTGTAGGCCAAGAGCACGCTGGCCACAACGAAACCATATCAGCATATCTTTAGGTAGAGCCTGCAGTATCATCGTCCATTCCTGCGAGCATAGAAGGTTCTCCAATTGCACATGTCGTTTCTGCTCCAGTCGAAAACTTGACCACTTGAACGGCAAATTGTACATGTGCAAATGCTTTTGTCCGGCGTCTCCGACGTTCCTTCGGCGGGTAGAAGTTGTTGATGGGGGAGAGGCCGTCGCGCGGGAACGTGGCGATGGTGAGGCGCGGGTCCTCCTCCTCTAGCTCCCTCATGGTTGCGGCTTGCACGCTTGGTAGTGGCAGGTTGTCGCCGGTGGTGCGCGGGTCCTTGCCTTGACCCGTCTTGAGTCCGCCACTCGTTGCCATCTTCGTTACGTTGCACTCTCCGCCGTGAACATTCTTCACGACTGTCCCGGGCACGCGTCGCCGATGAGCATCGGTCCGCGAGACACTCCATGTAGCCCGCTGCTCGCGCCCTTGTTCTGCGATCCATGCGACTACCTGCTTCTTCCAGGATTTCGTCATGATGCCGGTGTCCGCGGCCGCCTCCGACTGGATGGGTCGGTCGCCTTGAGGAAACGGAGCTTCTTCTTCAGCAGTCCACACATCGAGCGTCTTGGTGCTGGCGGTCGGTGCTTCAGCTCGTTGCGTCTCCCTGGGGAAGTCCGTGATTTTGATCATCAGGTGGTTCTTCCTCGAGAATGGGAATCTTCGCAGGCTGGTCCGATAGCTTCTTGAATGTCACCTGGTTGCCCATGACCTTGACGACCGTGTCTAGGGCGTCCAACTGATCGACGCTCATGAGCATGAGGGCGTCCGAGTCGGGTAGCCTCTCGAAGATGAGCGTGCGGTCCCCCTGCCTTGGATGCCGCTTGGCACTGCCCGTGTGCTTTCTGCTTGCACTGGCGCCGCCGTGTTGGTTCCCTTGAACACGCTTTTGGTTGGCATCTGCATGTCGGCCTAGTTGAACTTCTCCAGTTGGTTGTCGGTCGCTCGATCTCCGGCGCATGGCGCCAGAGCTGCCTTGTCCAGTGCCACGTAGCCCGGTGGTGCCGCATGGTCAGCCACCATCGTGTCGATCATGGTGTTCGGCACGCTGCTGACGTTGTTGGTCACCTCGGTCGGGTTGATCATGTAGCTCTCCATCGGGAAGCCGACTCTGGTCGCTAGCATGGCTCCGGCCAGGCCAATGCGAGCCAGAAAACCTCCAGCACGTCCTTTTCCTGTCCGCGTCCTTTGGCCACGCCGAAGGCGCCGCCCGTGCCGGCCGGCCATGGTCTTGCTGCACTCTGGATCTCCGGCCCAGCGCCCCTTCTCGCCGCGCGCGCCGCACTTGCTAGCCTTCTGGAAAACTCCAAGTCGGTCTTGAAGATCCTTCGTGCCGCAGCTGATATTGCCGTCAAAGTCGATGTAGGCATTGCCCTGCTTGAAGCCTCTGTTCGCCTTGCCGCCCATGATGAACTGGCGCTGCTTGGTGCAGTCGGGTCCTGAAAATCCTGCCTTGCCCTTGCCACGGCCCCTTGCCGCAATCGCGCCCACGACCGTCTGATCCTCTGCCGCGAAGGTTGAAATCTCCTCCTCGCTCATGTCGTTGACGTCGACCACCGGCATGGCTGTCTGGATCTCCTCCATTCCTGCTGAAAGGATGTCCATCTCGTCTCCGTCCTCCGTGTCGCCGTCCTCGTCTCCACTGCAGTTGCCTTCGTCCCCGTCGTCTTCGTCGCCTTCTGGGATTGCTCCGAAGGCTGAGTTCCACCGGAACTTGCGTCCTCCTTCGCGTCGCGGATGTCCGCCTCGCGCGCCCAGGTTGTCGACCTGGATCTCCCGGACCTCGCGAATGGCGTCCTAGTCGCACTCGTTCTGCGCCTGGCCCAGAAACGCCATGTGCTGCGTCTCGGTGATGCCACTCATGTCGAGCTGGAAGAAGGTCCTGAAGTCCTCCGAAACCTGCGTGCCTCCTCGGGTCAGGTCTCGTAGCTTCTCGCATGCTTGAGCTCGTCGCTGGATGAAATCTTTGATCGGCTCGTTGGGTCTGCGGCGCCCGCGCCTGGAAAAATCCAAAAACGCACTGTGCTTCTGTCGGGGGGCCACCTTCCCGCAGTGACTCCGTGCCGTCTTGAGTATCGCGTCCAGCGCGGCCTCGATGGCCTCGTCATTTTCTGCGTCAGCGTTGCCTTTCTTGAAATGCTTGCCGAGTGCTGTCACGCCGATTTTCTCGTCTTTGTGGCGCAGTGTCCACGCTTTGCCCGTCAGGCCGTTGTTCACTTTTGCGATGAAGCTTTTCTTTTTCTCTCTGTTTTCCATTCAGAGAAATCCCAGCCGAACTATCTCTCTCTCTCTTTTTTTCTCTCTCTCTCTCTCTCTCTCTCTCTCTCTCTCTCTCTCTCTCTCTCTCTCTCTCTCTCCTCTCTCTCTCTCTCTCTTCTCTTCTCTCTCTCTCTCATCTCTCTCTCTCTCTCTCTCTCTCTCTCTCTCTTCTCTCTCTCTCTCTCTCTCTCTCTCTCTCTCTCTCTCTCTCTCTCTCTCTCGCTCTCTCTCTCTCTCTCTCTCCTCTCTCTCTCTCTCTCTCTCTCTCTTTCTTTCTTTCTCTCTCCTCCTCTCTCTCTCTCTCTCTTTCTCTCTCTATTCTCTCTCTCTTCTATATATATCTCTTTCTCTCTCCTCTCTCTCTCTCTCTCTCTCTCTCTATCTATCTCTCTCTCTATATATATATATCTCTCTCTCTTCCCATTCCTCTGCCGCTGCATCTCCGTCGTAGCATGGGGCGCCGTCCTTATCCAACCAAACGTGCGCTGCCCCTTTTTTTCTCTCTGGTGATTGACATCCTGATGCGAGAAGGGTCGTCGTCGTCGGCGCTGCTGAACTCGCAGCGGTGCGAGAACTGGTTCTCGATGGGACATGTAGTGCCTGATCGCAAGAAACAGGTCTTTGTATTATATGTAGAGTGGCAAGAACAAGCCAGTGACATCGTGTGTTCTGCATAACGGCCGTCCTCTCACACATTGCTCCGCACTACCAGTGTCAATGATAATGGGTGCGCGATGTCTTTCATCGCTGCAAGCTCCGCGATGTCGACCGCTATGAAAGCGGTCGCCACGCGACCGACCACGCGCAGCAATCTGAAATCAGGGAAGCCCCAGTCAATGACTGGAACACACATGATAACTTGTTATCTGCTGATAGCTCAAAAAGGGGATGCCCTGATATGATAGGAACACGACTGGCAGCGGCACATATTTTGTTATGTTATGTTGTGTTTAAAATCATCGAACACCTCGTGAATGAAAAATATCCAAACTGCTTGATCTACTGCGTTTCGAGCCGGGCCCTCAACCTGTTCATCTTCGCACAAGAAAGGCCCAAGAGGGGGGCCACGATTCGAACATTCTAACTTTCCGCCCCGAGAGGGCCCCAGGAGGCCCCAAGAGGCCCCAACGCTGCCCCCAAGAGGCTTCGAAACTTGCTCCAAGAGGCCCCCGAGAGGCCCACCGCGATATCCCAACGAACATTCAAGAGGCCTCTGACCCACCACCCAGGCGCGGTGGCGGGATGGGCCGAAGGCCAGTATATCCGCCGCCCCTTGTTGATTTATCACAGGGGCGCCTGGCGTGCTGGATCCTTAAGATGTTGGTTTTGGTTCTTCTCCAAAAGATTGTTCGATGTGTTCAAGGATGTTTCAGGCGAAACGCTCAGCTACGAAGGTTCGTCACATTCATGACTTTCATGTTTTGGAGGATGTCCCGAGCGAAGAGCAGTTTTTTTAGATAAAAGACGATGTTGCGAACATCTAGTTCGTGCGATCATGTCTCAAGCGAAATGCTCATTTCGAGGAACCCGACCAGACAAGAACGGGAAGCGCCGATTTGTCAACGAACGCTGTCAGAAAAACGCACGTTGATAATGTCAAAGAAACTTAGAAACGTAGACCAACAACGCAGCAGTGCGGCAGACGAGCACGGCATACCACAGCAGCGCGGCAAGCCAGCACGGCAGACCACAGGAGCACGGCTGACCAGAACGGCAGAACGAGAAGGAACATAGCAGACCACAGGAGCACGGCAGACAACCACGGCGGACCACAAGAGCACGGCAAACCAAAACGGCAATCCACAAGAGCACGGCAGACCGGCACGGCAGACCAGAGGAGCACGGCAGACCAGCGCGGCAGACCACAGGGGCACGGCAAACCACAGCACCTCTACAGACGAACGCGGCGGACCACAAGAGCACGGCAGACTAGCACGGCAGACCACACGAGCACGGCAGACCACAGCAGCACTACAAACCAGCACGGCGGACCACAGAACACGGCAGACCAGCGCGGCAGACCGCGGGAGCGCGGCAGACCAGCACGAGCTGCATCTTTAAGTGATTGGTATCGAAAAACACCTAATCCGGAGCTGCATGTTTTCTTGGTGTCTGCAGCAAGAGCCTCATTTCCGAAGAAACGAAATATTTGCAAGCTACTTCATCATTTCATTTGTAGGAACGTCGTCGTATGGCAGATCGTCATGGCAGATCCCCCAGCACCCGCATTTTGGGAGGATGCCTCAAGCGAAAATGTCGTTTTTGCAACAATCGATGCTGATAACTTCTCGTTTGGTGAGGATTTCCGCTTCAAAACCGTTATTTTCGGCCGTGTCATTTTTCGGGCCGCTCTCCAAATTGGTCCCAATGCCGAAGCTATACAACTCTTGTGTTGCCGATTGGGCTGGGCCGGAAACGCGCGGTACCGAACAGTCCGGCAAGTACGTCGCGCCCTGGTCTCAGGGAAGGCGAAACAACCGGGCTCCAAGCTGGGGAGCAACCCAACCCGGACCCAATGCACTTCGGTCAGGCCAAAGACAGGCTTGGAAAATGATACAGGCGTGGGTTGGGGTGGGTAATTTCCGCAGCCTCGAGCCACAAAGGCAAGGGTGCTCATGCAGTCGCCCACCCAACCCCCAAATGATACTTGGGCTGCTTTGTGAGAGCAACTTGCTACTTCAGAAAAACGTACACGCCGGAGGCGCTTCCCGCCATTCCCCGAGATGCCTCAGGATGCTTCTAAAAGACCCACATAAGGCCCTCAGAGTCCCGCAAACGGCCCCCAAGAGCTCAACAAAGCCTCACCCGTGTATTTCTTTCCTCTTCTGCGGGTCGGTGGAACGGCGTAAGCCCCTTGAATGAGGATGAAGTTCCACTCTGCCGAGATGCCCGCCGCGGCGAAGACCCAGATGGCTCCGAAGAGCAGGAGGCCAGACTGCACATTGACCGGGCCGAACCTCTCGAGGAGGGTGCCGAGCGCCACGCGCACAAAGATCGTGATGCCGACCGAGGTGATGCTTGAATACAGGATCGTCGAACCGCAGTGCGTGCCCGGGCTGCAAACGCACTTAGGGAGGACTTCGAAATTATCCGCCACCGTGCCCCCTGACACGTCGAGACGTGCTAGAATGCCAAGTGCTGTCTGGCAGGGTTTCTGTAATCTTCTAAGGCCCCCCCCCCGCTCGACGCGCCCAATTGCATGCATCGCCCCCTCTCCCGAGGCTCTCTGGGCGGCCATGACGCCTCCTTGGCGCTCTTCATGGCGTCCAAGATGCCCAAGATGGCTTCCCATACGGACCTGGGAGGCCACCAGGGCCGCCAAGATGGCCCAAGATGCCTCCAAGATGGTCCAAGATAACCCCAAGATGGCCCAAGATGGTCGGACACCGTCGGACATCGCGAGACAAAGAGGTGTACATATGGGGATCTCCACGTCGAATATAATAAGTTGTTGCACGATTTTCGCATTCTTGCCTTTGCGCTTCCGTCGGCTCAAGACGACCCAAGAGCTCTCCAAGTTGGCCCCACGACGGCCCAAGAGGGCCTCAAGGTAGCCCAAGAGGCCTCCAAGACGGCCTTAAGACAGCCCAAGAGGGCCCCTGGAGAGCCCAGGACGGACCCAAGAGGGCCTCAAGCTGGCCCTGAAGTGCTTCCGGAGGGACCCAAGCCGGCCTGAGAGGACCCCCTGGACGGCCGAATACGGCCCAAGAGGGCGGGCCTCAAGACGGCCCAAGACGGCCGCAAGGTTCCCCCAAGACTGCCTCTCAGGAGCTCAGGACAGCCCAAAGACGACCAAACGAGGTCCATGTGGGCCCTGCAGGAACGAAGACGAAAGGTGTCACATGTGACGGCTTTCCTCTTCGTCGTCGTCGTCGTCCTCCTCCTCCTCATCACCACCGTCCTCGTCCTCGTCCTCCTCATGACCATGGTCACCACCACCACCATCACCATAACCATCACCATCATCATCATCAGCACCATCGTCTTCGTCATCGTCATCGTCGCCATCGTCATCATCATCATCATCATCATCATCATCATCATCATCATCATCATCGTCGTCGTAGTCGTCGTCGTCTCACCATCAGCATCGTCATCGTCATCGTATCGTCGTCATCATCACCAGCATAAGCATCAGCATCATCATCATCGTCGTCATCATCCGCATCAACATCACCATCATCATCAGCATCATCATCATCACCATCGTCATCATGTTTTTTCGTCCCCCGCGTCCGCCACAATCCTCCTCCTCCTTCTCCTCCTCCTCCTCCTCCGCCTCCCCATCATCCTCCTCAGCCTCTCGTGGAAATAATCATACTCATCATCACAATCGTCATCGTCAATCGTCATCATCATCATCATCATCATCATCATCATCATCATCATCATCATCATCATCATCATCATCATCATCATCATCATCATCGATTCGAACAGCTGCCACCGAAAATGAAAATGCTGGGCTGGCACGGTGGCGGGACTCACCGCAGGCAGCTGGATATTTCATGCACGCCTCGGGGCACAGATCGACGTCGTCCGTGAGCGTCTCGCTCTGCGTGCACGCGGTGGCCGCCACGCCGCCACAACTCTCGTCCCAAACGTCCTGCGGCACATCCTGGCACCCAGTCGGATCGTTATCCTCTCCGATCTTCCCATGCTGGCAATACTTCTTCCCCGACGCGATCGCCTTGAACTTCAAGAATGCTTTCCTCTCTGGGTTCGCAACCGGTGGGAAGAGCTGGTTTTCGCAAGCGTCGATGCTGTGGACCACCTCGATAGCGATCGGGCTCAGGGCGAACCAACCCACGAACGCCACGAAGAAAGATACTGTCGAGGCCCAGAAAGCCCGCATGTGAGCACCATGCCTCTTGTCCCTGCCGAGCGCGCCGCACAGCCTCAACTCCGTGGACTTCAACTGGTCGTTCACCCTCACCGCGAACTCCTGCTCCGACATGTCTGCGTGGCTCTCGCGCGTGTGCTGCCGGGCCAGAGTGACCGTGCCGGAACTATTGGAGCCGAAACAAAAAATGCTACGGAGAAAAAAAACATGAGGAGGCCTCCAGCCTCCAAGGGCTGCCGGGGAGACAATCAAAACATCCACACAAGGCACGGTTCGCCGCGCCCAAGGGGGGGGGACCTGCCGGCCCCCTTGTGGGGCCACCAAGCTGCGAGGGCCAAGCTTTGCCGCAGCCACTCCAGTTTCTAATTGTGACTTGTTGCTGAGCGCGCGAGGCCCCTAGGCCGCAACCTATCGTGAATTAGGCCAGACTCGCGCTCCCGAGGCCACAGTCAATCGTAAATCATGTCGGGCTCGCGCTCCCGAGGCCGCCCTCCCCCTTCAATTATACCAGGCACGCGCTCCCGCGGCCACGATCCCTTGCAAATTACGCCAGACTCGCGCTCCCCACCCCACGATCCCTCGCAAATTACGCCAGATTCGAGCTCCCGACGCCACAGTCCATCGACATTTCGCCAGACCAGATTCGCGACCCCGAGGCCGCGATGCCCCGCAATCTACACCAAACTCGTTAAAAACACAAGTTATGTGAATTCCGCGTTTCTAGACCACGTGGTCACAGGAGCACCCACAGCAGCATGCAAAACAAAATAAAAAATAAAAACTGAATATCATTTCGCGCTCCTGGACCGCGGCCGGCCACCGGAACACCCAGCGGCAGGCAGGACAGAAGAGTGACAAAAGTTCATACTCTTTTCGCGCTCCTGGACCGCGCGCCACCAGGGCACCCACAGCAGCACGTCAGACGGAAGAGAAACCGGGATTTTGGGTTGCTTCCATACGAAATCCAAAGGAAAACCGGGATCTTGGAGTGCTTCCATAGGCAATCCAAAGGAAAACCGGGATCTTGGAGTGCTTCCGTAGGAAATCCAAAAGAAACTGGGATCTTGGGCTGCTTCCATAGGAAATCCACAGGAAAACCGGGATGTTGGGCTGCTTCCATAGGAAATCCAAAGGAAAACCGGGATCTTGGGCTGCTTCCACAGGAAATCCAAAGCAAAACCTTGATTTTGGACTGCTCCCATAAGAAATCAAAACAAAAAAATAATAATACAAAAAACGGGATCTTGGAGTGCTCCCATAAGAAACCCACCAGAAAACCGGAATTTTGGATTGGTTCCATAGGAAATCCAAAAGAAAACCGGGATCTTGGATTGGTTTCATAGGAAATCCAAAGGAAAACCAGGATATTGGGCTGCTTCCCTAGGAAATCCAAAGGAAAACCGGGATCTTGGGGTGCTTCCATAGGAAATCCAAAGGAAAATCGGGATCTTGGGGTGCTTCCATAGGAAGCCCGAAGGAAAACTGGGATCTTGGACTGGTTTCATAAAACGAGAGAAGAAGGTGATCTTGGATTGGTACAATAAAAAATCAAAAAGAAAACCGGGATCTTGGAGTGTTTCCTTAGGAAATCCAAAGGAAAACCGGGATCCTGGACTGGCCCCATATGGATTGGTTTCATAAAAAATCAAAAGAAAACCGGGATGTTGGGCTGGAAAAACCGGGATCTTGGAATTGTTCCTTAGGATATCCATATGAATACCGGGATCTTGGACTGATCCCATAAGGAATCCAAATGAAAACCGGGATCTTGGATTAATTTCATGACAAATCCAAAGGAAAACCGGCCGGGATCTTGGCTTGCTTCCTTAGGAAATCCAGGAAGCCCAAAGGCAAACCGGGATCTTGGGGTGCTTCCATGGGGAATCCAAGGGAAAACAAGAACCTTGGATTGCTTCCAAAAAATCCGAAGGAAAACCGGGATCTTAGGCTGCTTCCCTAAAAAATCCAAAGGACAACCGGGATCTTGGAGTGCTTCCTTAGGAAATCCAAATGAAAACCGGGATCTTGGGGTGCTTCTATAGGAAACCCAAAGGAAAACCGGGATCTTGGTTTGGTTTCATAAAAATCCAAAGGACAACCGGGATCTTGGATTGGTTCCTTGAGAAATCCAAGGGAAAACCAAGATCTTGCTTAGGAAATGCACAGGAAAACCGGGATCTTGGAGGGCTTCCATAAGAATTCCAAAGGAAAACCGGGATCTTGGACTGGTTTCATGAAAAAACCCAGAGGGAAAACTGGGATCTTGGAATGCTTCCGCAAGAAATCCAAAGGAATACCGGGATCTTGGGGTGCTTCCATAGGAAATCCAAAAGAAAACCAAGATCCTGCGGTTCTTCCATTGGAAATCCAAAGGAAAACCGGGATATTGGATTGGTTCCTTCGGAAATCGAAAGGAAAACCGGGATCTTGGACAACTTCCATAAGAAATCCAAAGGAAAACCGGGATCTTGGATTGCTTATAAATGAAAAAAAACTGGATCTTGGGCTGCTGCCATACGAATTCCAAAGAAAAACTGGGATCTTGGATTGGTTCCTTAAAGAATCCAACGGAAAACCGGAATCTTGGACAACTTCCATAGGAAATCCAAAAGAGAACCGGGATCTTGGATTGCTTCCTAAGAAATCCAAACGAAAACTGGAATCGCGGGCTCCTTCCATGGGAAATCCAAAAGAAAACCGGGATCTTGGATTGTCTCCTGAAGAAATCCAACGGAAAACTGGGATCTTGGACAACTTCCATAAGAAATCCAAAAAAGAAAACCGCGATATTGGGCTGCTTCCACAAGGAATCCAAAAGAAAACCGGGATCTTGGGGTGCTTCCATAGGATATCCAAAGGAAAACCGGGATTTTGGATTGCTTCCGTAGGAAATCCAAAAAGAAACCGGGATCTTGGGCTGCTTCCACAGGAAATCCAAAGGAAAACCGTGATCTTGGGGTGTTTCCATCGGAAATCCACAGGAAAACTGGGATCTGGGATTGCTTCCATAGGAAATCCAAAAGCAAACCGGGATCTTGGGGTGCTTCCATAAAAGGAAACCGGGATCTTGGGGTGCTTCCATAGGAAATCCAAAAGAAAACCGGGATCGAGTGCTTCCATAGGAAGTCCAAAGGAAAACCGGGATCTTGGATTGCTTCCATGGGAAATCCAAAAGAAAACCAGGATCTTGGATTGCTTCCATAGGAAATCCAAAAGCAAACCGGCATCTTGGGGTGCTTCCATTGGAAATCCAAAAGAAAACCGGGATCTTGGGGTGCTTCCATGGGAAATCCACAAGAAAACCGGGATTTTGGGGTGCTTCCATAGGAAATCCAAAGGAAAGCCAGGATCTTGGATTGCTTCCATAGGAGATCCACAAAGAACCGGGATCTTCGGGTGCTCCCATAAAGGAAAGCCAAGATCTTGGATTGCTTCCATAAGAAATTCAAAAGAAAACCGGGATCTTGGAATGCTTCCATAGGAAATCCGAAAGAAAACCGGGATCTTGGACGGGCGCCGCTCAGCCTGTGGTCGTCGGCATGGATCTTGGCATTGCTCGCACGGAATCCCAGGAAAGAAGGGTTCATGGTAAGCGCGAATTGGAAATCCAAAGGAAAAGCCAACATCTTGGATTGCTTCCGTCGGAGTTCCAAAAGAAAACCGGGATCTTGGGATGCTTCCATAGGAAGTCCAGAAAGGAAACTGGGATCTTGGATTACCTCCATAGGAATTCCAACAGAAAACCGGGATCTTGGATTGCTTCCATAGGAAATCCAAAAGAAAACCACGATCTTGGATTGCTTCCATACGAAATCCAAAAGAAAACCGGCATCTTGGGATGCTTCCATGAGAAATCCAAAGGAAAACAAGCATCTTCGATTGCTTCCATAGAAAATCCAAAAGAAAACTTGGATCTTAGATTGCTTCCATAGGAAGTCCAAAGGAACACCGGGATCTTGGATTGCTTCCATGGGACATCCAAAAGAAAACCGGGATCTTGGGGTGCTTCCATCGGAAATCTTCAAGAAAACCGGGACCGTGGATTAGTTCCAAGGTAAATCCAAAGGAAAACTGGGATCTTGGATCGCTTCCAGAGGAAATCAAAAGGAAAACCTTGATCTTGGATTGCTTCCATGGGAAATCCAAAAGAAAACCGGGATCTTGGATTGCTTCCATGGGAAATCCAAAAGAAAACCAGGAAGGTGGGGTGCTTCCATAGGAAATCCACAAGAAAACCGGGATCTTGGATTGGTTCCATCGGAAATCCTAAAAGAAAACAATCATCTCGGATTGCTCCCATACGGAATTCCAAAGGAAAACCGGGATCTTGGGGTGCTTCCATTGGAAATCCAACGGAAAACCGGGATCTTGGACTGCTTCCATAGGAAATCCAAAGGGAAACCGGGATCTTGGGGTGCTCCCATAGGAAATCCAAAGGAAAACCGGGATCTTGGATTGCTTCCATCGGAATTCCACAAGAAACCCGGCATCTTGGATTGCTTCCACGGGAGATCCAAAAGAAAACCGGCATCTTGGATTGCTTCCATAGGAAATCCAAAATTATCCTGGCGAAGGCCCCAACCATATGCAATTGTGAATACTGCAATTGTAAAAATCTTCTCGGTGGAGCCCCCTACGGGGCCACGAAACGTACGAGGGGTGCGCCGAAATGGGTGTGCGGGACGCATGCGGGCACACACACTGGGGCCTTCGGTGGAGCTCTCTACGGGGCCAAGAAAAGTGCGAGGGGTGTGCCGAAATGGGTGCGCGGGACGCATGCGGGCACACCCACTGGGACCTTCGGCGGAGCTCCCTATGGGGCCACTGAACGCGTGAGGGGCGTGCCGAAATGGGCGTGGCTGACGCATGCGGGCGGATCGCGGGTACATGGGGCTTTCGGCGGAAGCTTCTATGGGGCCACGAAGCGTTGCGGAGGGGTTCTTTCCGTTCTAGACTGATGGTGCCGGACATGGCCGTGGGTGACGCATGCCGGGCGCGGCGCTGGGTGTTTCGGTGGATCTCCTATGGAGCCACGAACGCGCGTGAGGGCGTGTGCCGAAATTGGGGTTTTGGTGTGGTGAGTGAACGCTATGCGGGCGCGGGACTGGGGCCTACGGTGGACACTCCTAATGATGGGGCCTGAAAACGTGTGAGGGGTGTGCCGGA